ACAAACAGTTTATTCTGAAGAAGGCTATGAAGATTCTGCCTACGATCATGCTGGGGAACAAAAACATGCATCTGATCATGAAGGACATGGTGGTTATTTAAAAGAAAAAGAGTTAAGTAAAGGTAAATATAAAATACCTACATTCAGTGGAAATTACGAAGATGGAAAAGGATTATCTTATCGCGATAATGTCTTACACGGTGAAAGGTGGAAGAACGTGGCTAATGATGATGAAGAACAAAATGACGAAGAAGATTTTTCTGAAGACGAGAATGAATACATTATTGAAAGTAATATACATGAAGATGCTCCTATCAAAAAATCAATTAATGAAAACGCAAGTGTAGATGATGCAGCTGAAGCTGACACTCAACATGACTTAATTAAAAGAGAAGCAAATTATAAAGAACCTGAAATAAATTTAAGTTCAAATTATTTAAACGGCAATGAAGTACCAAAAGTTTCACCAGTAAAATTACAGCCGAACAAATCGAATGACTTATCAAGTAAATTTCCTTATTACAATAAAAGCTCAATTAACAAAGATTCACCTTTACGCTATGCTGAAAATTTTAAAAATATTCCAAGAAAATCAAAAGGGGGCACTGAGTTTTATGACTCTCGTGCTCAATTAGAATGTCCTGAAGTTGAAGAGGATGTTGACCCTTTACCAGAAAAGTTAAAAAAGAATGGACATCCTGATGAAAAGGAAGATGGTGATGATGAAAACTTAAATCCAAACTCAAACCAAAATAACGATGAAAAACAGAGATTAAAAGGGCTTGGTGACAAAATTGATTGCTTCAAAATTAAGTATTTCGGCAAAAATCCTTTAGATAGCCCATTTTTTTATGAAGACCTAATTTCTAATCCAGAACCATTGACGGCACCTGCCTCTGAAATATTTAAATTATTTAGTCAGCAGAAAAATCTATTATCGGAAGAATCACAAACGAGTACTATTACTTTATTACCAAAACTCATAAATGAAACTATATTAAATAAAACCGATACCATCTTACCTTATAAATCAAGCAATCATAATTACAAAGACGTTATTAAAATAAACACTACAATAAATCCAAGAAATGAAGCTAGAGATTATAACCAATTAATAATATCAAGAAAAAGACGAGCAACGCCGTTCATTTACGAACCTTATAAAATAATAAGAGACAGTCAAATTCAAGATTCAAAGAAAACGACTACTACAAGTAATATAAGCCCATTAATAAAGCAATTGCAGTCTAGTAGAGTAATAGATAAGGTGACTGTGAATTCAAAAAAAGATTCACCAGTTAAGAGAAACACAGCCAGTCTTCCTTACAAAAATATTGACAGAAAAGATAGGGAAAAGGTTCTTGAAAAGCTCGAGAACGAAAATTCTAATTCAACATTTATAAATGTTAACGAAGACTCACGGCAAAGTGAACCAACATTTGAACAAAGACCCGCTAACCATAAAGCTCGTTACATGCCTATAGAAAATATAAAGTCAATATCTCTTGAAGGATATAAAAATCATACATCTAATAAATATACAGGTAGTGATAAATTTACTGAAAATCTAGAAACAACACGTGCCACAAAAAACCAGGTAAATGACCAGTTTCGTAGTAGACCAATCTTTGATGTCACAGAGTACTTACCACAATCTTTTGAAATACAAAAAACAGAAGCGTCCAATAGAGTAAAAACAATTAAAGATATCATGGAACAGGCAGTGCCAGAAAAAGGAGGAATTTCTATTTCTACTGTTTCCCAGGAAAGCGATGAAGGCGATGAAAGTTACGAAGAATATGACGAAGAAGACGTTTTGCCAATGACAACAACTACAATGAAATCAACAACTAGAAAAAGAATTCGAATTTTAACAACAACCATAAAGCCAGACAGTGAAAACAATAAAGATACAATCGATAAACAGACGCCTAAACTAAAATTAGTTACAAGATTCCGAAATCCAACAAGAAATAATTATAATACAATCAAAAACCCAAAACAAGAAAATATATCAACGCCGCTCAATAAAGAATTGGAAGATAACGACGACATAATGATTCCTAAGTACAGGGAAAAGAAAAGAAAAAGTTCTAGAAGAACCTTAGTTACCGATACTAAAACTTATGGACAAGGAAATGATGACATGAAGAAGGATGAAGTCGATGAGCTAATTGGCATTAAACATGATATGGAAGAATATATTCCTCACTATGAAAAAGAAGAGGAAAAAGACAAAAAAATACAAAAGTTTTCTAAAATATCAAAAGATAAAAGCAGTAGTTATAAAAAAGAAATAAATAATGAAAATGAAGATGAGCAATATGAAAAACATGACAAAAATGGCGGCAGTCATGCAGATGATGATAGTTATGAAGCTGAAGATGACGATGAAGAAGAGGATGAGGATGATTTAGATAGTGAAGATGAAGATGACGTTGACATTACAAATGATCATGATAGCAGCGAAAGGAAAAATGTAATAACAACAGAACCAACTAAACGAACACTTGTAAAGACAACAATTGCTCCTGAAACAACCACTCAAGTACGTAGAAATAGATTAGATTTGAAGCCAATCATATCAAAGAAAAAAATTGAAATACACAAAGAACTACCATCGGACAAATCATCTCAAAATACTACCCAATTTAAACAAGACATAAAAGAAATTGAAATAATAAAAAAGTTTCCAGCCAGAAAGTCGGAAATTACACCACAAAAGAATGCAGAGGTCTTACAACTATATAAAGATGAAAATTTAGCCAAAGAAGTTAACAATTTTTTTGATGTGGAGGTATTTAATAGTGATCTAGATATTAGAAAGGGCCCAAGACACGGAGGAAATTACAGGAGTATTAAGCCTCCAGAAACCCATAATTCTTCAAAAAATGAAAGTTTACTTCAAAATGGCCAGTCACTAAAAGATTCTGAATCGTCACAGAGTAAAACAACAAATCTTACTGATATAACAGCTAATAAATCTGAGAGAAGACACCTAGGAGGATATACAAAACCAAAAACTACAACCCAACGATCGAGACGAAGTCGAGGTCAATATTCCAAATTATTAGAACATAACAATCAATCAAAACCTGTATTAGTCAAAAATATGCATGGTGGCAATTTAAAATTAAATAAAGAACAAATGAGTGAAATTCAGGAAAAAAAGAACGAAAAGTTGATTGAACTTAGTGAGGAACACGATGATAGTGATAGTGAAAGTCCGACAGAAAATATGCATGGTGGTAACTTTAAAATATATAATAATTTCAGAAATGGCAATCCTATGCATGGGGGTAATTATAGGAGTGCTAAAATTACACAGTATGATGACAAAAATACACAACATAATGCTAATGAAAAAGACGATCCTTCGAAGAATATCAGAGGAAATTCCGCAGCGCTACTTGATAGTTTTGTGCGCGCTGTTCCCATATTGACAACTACACCAGCTTATATATTAGATCCTAGCAAAAGAATGTACTATTATGTCGATTCTTAAGGAAAGTATTTACAAATATGTATTTACAAAATAATTATTATTTGACAAAAGTGCTATAATAAAAGAATTGTGCCACTAAACTTTAATTTACGGTTTTGCGAAAGTGTTAAGAACTTGATCATAATTCCACGGTGTTTAATTTTTTTCTGCCGACTTCATTTTTGAAGGAGACGGTACTCAATTCGACTGTATGTTTTTTTATGTGTGTTACCTCATAACTTTTTACTGGGTAAACCGATTTCGATTATTCTTTTTTTATTTGAAAGCTGGTACTTCAAATGTGATCTCATATAAATTTGATCAAGATCAGACTAATAGTTTACAGTTACAGCTGTACAAAATTTTTAATTTTTAATTATTTTTATAGGATAGGGTGACAAACGAGCACACAGTCCACCTGATGGTAATTGGTTGCTGTGGCCCATAGACATCTACATTATCCTCGTTTGCGAATCAAAATGCAGTTGTCACCCGTGAGGACTAAGATGGATTGCCTCTATGTTTCTTAATAATGTTTTCTTAATTAAATGTATAATTTAAGATCACTACGATAATAATCTGTGATAAATATAAGGCTCTATTATGTTATGGCAACATTGAACATAACTTATAATGTGTATTTACCTTAAAATATAAAAATAATAAAAATATATGTAAAATACTGAAGTTTTTTTTAACACTAACATTTTTATATTTGCTCTTTATTTGTGTATAAAAATTAATAACTTGTTAAATTTTTATCTAGACTATTTATACAGTTTTATCAATAATGTCATTGATCATTTTCTAATATTATATTAGCAGGCTGCTCCACTTAAAGTTTTAATGGTATGATCGTTCACCTCTTTGTCAATGCAATACTTTCACTTTCGTTAATAGTTTCGAAACAAGTGACTAAAATTTGTGGCTAAGCAACTATACATATAGATGATAGCTGATTATTGTTCATATTTAATGTATGTTATATTTAATAACTAAGGAAATTAATTTAAAACAGTTCATAAAATTAATTAAAATGACAAATATATATACAACACTCTTCTGGATACGGGTTTTTATTTTCAGCTAAAAAAGGTCGGATACTTTTACTACTACTTACTACTTGACTTCGCATAAAAATTAAGAAGCGTTGGTAGACCGAGTTACGTTACTCGTTCATCATAATATTTTACAATAGCATTGGAGCTGTAAGTGGATATCAGGTAAAGTAAAGGATTTCGTAATAATTGACTCTATGTCATTTAAAAAATGTCTTTTATTTTTATGTTTTTATTACTTTAATAATGATACTTAACGAATATAAATTAAATAAATAATTTACCATAAATATAATAATTTACATTGCTTCGTAATTTTGGCTTCAATTAAAATATTGTAACTAAATGATGTTGTTAAACATTCTTATTTTTTTCTTATGTTCCTTCCTACTATACAGTACTTAGTAATATTATTTATGTTGGCATACCTATTAATAAACTTGTCAATCAAAAATAAATTAATATTTTTGAGTCGCAGCTAGACTGATAGGCTTCCATTCTGATTCAGGAGAGGGCATAAATTCGGAAATATTGTCCTCCCTATCAATAGACTCATTCCCTTCCTTATCATCTTCTTCAAAAAATTCAATTATAGGATGATAATTATAATTGACCCGCTTACTATTTGAAATTTTCTCCTCTTTAGGTCTTAAAGTACTAAATTGTTTTTCTGTTGTCACTGTAAACAACTTAGGTGCTATTGTTCCTCTAACATTTGTGTTAGGATTTGTTTTCCTTGAGTCATAACTCTGAAATTCCGGAGGCAGCTCTTCCTCGGTGTTTGGGCTATCACTAGAAAATGTACCAAGTGCAGACGTACCGGAAGGTACTAAATCTTCTTGCCTATTAGATATTGGCCGACGATTTAGCCTAGAAATGCCTCTTTTAAATAAGTTATCAGTATTTTTGTATTTGCTTAAAATGTCTTTAAAGTACGATAACGAAGATGATCCTGATGGCGTGGGAGGTTCTAAATAGCTTGGTAAGGTTGCGGTATTAAAATCTGTTGCGCTAGGATTCCGGGCTGAAGGAGGTTTTCTAACATTTCTTCTTGAAGTTTCTTGATTTACGGAATCCGGGAAATAAGAATTTCCGTAAGAATCTTTAAGGCTATGCGGAGACAGATTATTAAGCTCATCGTCATCACTTACATCTGAAAACATTGGGCCTGGAATCGAGTTATGATTATCAATAAATGAAGGGAATGTGTCTAAGGGCTTCTTAAATGGAAAATTATGCGACTTCGTAACTGAAGGTTTCTGAACTACGGATTGAACAGCCTCAAATGCTTGATTAGAATGTTCTGGGGATAATTCTTCTCCAGGAAAATGTTCTGACGAAGTTTCATGTATTCTATGACCTAGTGGTGGGAAAGCGACGCTGTATCCTTCAATATGACAGGAACAGCACGTGGGAACCTACAATTGAAAAAAAAAACATTACAACAAAGTAGTAACGTTACTCTAAATATATTCGCGTCGCTAATATTATGTAACTATAACGATTATAATTTGTTTAAATAAAGGTGTAGTATTTTTAATTAACATTAATTTGAAAAATTTTTACCTTAAATATATCCATATGCAATCCGTTTTGCTGATCCCAAGTTAAGAGTCTATGATAATTGTATACTTGTACACATTTAGACTTAAAGTTATCAGTCAAGTAAGTGCATGATTCTTTTGGTTTTCTGAAAAAAAAAATAGAACTATTTTAATGACAATGTAATCTTTATAAAAGTAATGTTAATTTAAAATTTCATACTTGTGTGCCGATTGTTACATTGCGATGGCATTACTCTTAAATTTCTTTTTCTTTTATAGGATAAGGGTGACAAACGAGCACACACTCCACCTGATCGTAAGTGGTTACTGCGGCCCATAGACATCTACATCTATCCTCTATTACAACTCAAAATGTAGATGCGTTGTCACCCGTGAGGACTAAGATGGAATGCCTTATTTCCAGTAAAAAGGGCCTCCGGCCACCTGCACTCACCAAGCGAAACACAGAGGTAAACCTCTACTTCACGCTGGTTTTCTGTGAAAGTTTTTTTTCTTAAGAAACCTTTACCGAAACGATATATATTTTTATTACATAAACCTACTTAAATCTGTTTGCACCTGTGTGAGTCATCTTAAATGATCAAAACTACATTACAGATTGGTTACTATTTAAATAATTAAGTGATTATTTGTTTTGATTAAATATATACAATACACTAATAGCTCAAGGTCCATTCGACTGTATTCAACATATTTAAAACCCTAGTCAACCAGAAGATCAGGCATAGACTACGTCTTTCCAATTGCCACGATCCTGATACACCTCGTTCACTTCTATATATCTACGCAAACAGGCTCGTACTTCTTCTTCGTTTTTTTTTGTTTAACATCCAAAATGTATACTTACAAGCACTTCTCTAATCGCAATGTCTGAGTATGCTCGCCAGTGTTCACGATATATTTCCACTGCCCTGAAGTAGCCCTTGCTCGCTGCGGTCTTGCGTATTTCACGGTGCTGGGGCACATAAAACCAGCCTCTCCTGCACTCGCGAAGTCTCTGTTGGCTGTGTCGCCACGCCTGAGGAAGTTATTACCAATAATAGCTGCTGATTGGGGCTATCGAAAACAATTTAAGCATTGATTTTAAAATGATTTAGTCCCTATTCAAGCGGAAAGTTAATAGATCTAGATTTGTATTATTTACAAAATCTTATCAAATACAGACATTTATTTTAGAGTAGTTTTATTTTTACTATAATACGGTAGATAAAATTATGCTTTAAATACGTTCAGATTAAAGCCTAATTTAATGTGAACATCGATATTTTAATTAGTTCAGAATATTAACACTTAAAGTCGTTTAATTTAGTAAAATCTTGCTGAATAATTAATTATTATATTGAAAAAAATGATTTAATCTGCTTAAATATATTTCTTTAGGGATAAAATATTTAATTTTAAAAATTAATTTATTAAATCAACACGATTAAATAATATTTAAGTTTTTAAGAATCTCATGCTCTTGACAAGCTATACACAGTGAAATAGTTACAATCAAAACTGTGCGTATGCAATTAACGGCATCTCCACGATTCAATAAGCAATCCTAGTCTCAGGGTAATAAAGTAGAAAAAAGAAAACAATTGAGAATTACTGTTAGTCAACTGAATAATTTGCTATATGGTGGCGACGAATTCATGACGTTCTGTGGCTATTACAAGAAACACCAGGGAGATCTCAGTAATCTGCATTTTCTTACAATCTGCAATATATGACGGTATACCATTTCATATAAATATAATATATGCTATATCATATATAAAATAGCTAGCCTATATAACAAATATAATATACCCAGTGCAAGATATCTGATCGTCAAAACGCCTTTAGCGTTAAAATCAATATCGTAAATTGTTCTTACTATAGAAGAGATCGAGGGTAAGCTATCCGATACAGAAAAAGAAGAATGGCTGAAGCACAAATGGATAGGCTTGATCGGGGAAGGCTTTACGCACGCAGAGAACCAGCGTGGAATAGCAGGGTTATGCTGCTGCGTACGCATAGTTAGTGTAGAGAACCTAACAAAGGTCTGCCTTTATGCTGGTAACAATTTTTTATAGGATAAGGGTGACAAGTGAGCACATAGTCCACCTGACGGTAAGTGGTTGCTGTGGTCCATAGACATCTACATCTATCCTCGTTTGTTAATCAAAATGCGGGATGCGTTGTCAGCCGTGAGGACTAAGATGGAATGCCTCGTTTCCAGTAAGGGTAAAGGGTCTCCGGTTCACTATATTCACCATACGAAACACAGCAGCATTAAGCTGCTATTTTACGCTGGTATTCTGTGAGAGCGTGGTCCTTCCCCTTTATTTTAATTCTTAATCGATGATAATTGTAGCTATAATATAGTATATAATATATATAGTCTAGTCTATCCATTCCATTACTATCGGATGGACTATATGCTTGTTTATCATCACTGCCAGAGTAATAGTCTGATAAAACATTGTCAAAACTATGAAATAAAAATACCTGTTGGATACAAGGTAGTGCTCAGCGGTATATTTTGCCTCCTGTGCTGCAGTGATGCCATCAACAGCTCCTTCTCCTGGGTCTTTAATGTCAGCTAGCAGTGCTCCGGCTGCTTTATTACGCCTTATTGATTGGATTATGGCTTCCCTGTAAAAAGAAGAATAATCTTTGTTTTTTATACAGCCTATATCAAAAGTCTACTGGTGAACATAGGTCTCTTCCAGAGGTTCCCGCATAAGGGGAATATTTTCATAATTGTTACGTTTAGTAAGCGGATTGGTAAACGCACCTTTTTAAGATTTTGAGATGTTATCAATATCTTGCTGCCCATCTCCTGTTTAATTTTCTCTCTGTTGCCTCTTACGACACCGATACGGCACATCATCATCATTATTACAGCTCTTCACAAGTCAACTGCTGAGCATAGGCCTCCCCCAAGGAATGCCACTAAGCACAGTTCTTGGTCACCCGCATCCATCGAGTTCCTGCAGGTCTTTACGGGTCCTCATTCCATCTAGTGAGAAGCCGCCCTGCACTTCGTCTATCGATAAGAGGCTGCCACTCGAAAACCTTTCTTTCCCATCGGTTGTCGGTCCCTCGAGCAAAGGGCACATACCACTGCCACTGAAAATCAGGGCATCCTAACATATCTCAGCACATCCTGAGTGGCAGTCCTATTTGTCCCATTTCCCATATTAAAAGTTTTTAAGGTTAGCTATTTGCCTTTTTTTGTAATTTTGTACCTATCTGCATTGTTTTTTACCAAAACTATTTATTTTTCATTCATCATCATCATCATTACAGCCCTTCACAAGTCCACTGCTGAACATAGGCCTCCCCCAAAGAATGCCACAAGGCACGGTCCTGAGCCACCTGCATCCATCGACTTCCTGCATATCTTACCAGGTCGTCACTCCATCTAGTGGGGGACGCCCTACACTTCGTCCGCCGGTACGAGGCCGCCACTCGAGAACCTTTTTTCCCCAACGGTTGTCGGTTCTTCGAGCTATGTGGCAGGCCCATTGCCACTTCAGCTTACTAATCCATTGGGCTATGTCGGTCACTTTGGTTCTACTGCGGATATCCTTATTTCTAAGTTTATCACGCATAGAAACTCCGAGCATAGCCCTCTCCATAGCTCGCTGAGCGACCTTGAGCTTCCTCATCCGGCCAGCAGTGAAGGACCACGACTCAGTACCATAGGTCATCACAAAATCAATTATTTTTCATTGTAAGTGTATAATTAAGTCTAGTTAATACATAATGTGTCTATTTGTTAAGGAATGGCCGAATAAATATATTTTTCTTTCTGTCTTTACTTTGTTGTTATATACATGAGAAGCAACCATGGAAAATATCTCATGGCTTCCGATAGATTATTGTATAACCATCTATCTCTTTTACACCAGGCTAATTTTATTTGGCATAATTAGATAATTGGTTGCCTCTTACGACACCCACGGGACAAAATAGGATGATGAATGCTGTTCCAACACCACCACCGCTTAATTATTAATAAGTAACTTACAATAATCAGGTCATGGTCAGGGTAGCCGTGTAATTACGGCGTAAGAATACCCGCTATCTCATATCATCCCGCCGATATTGTAAGAGGCGACAATGGAAGCTGAACCAGGTAGGTGGGCAGCATCTACCTAATTTTTTATATTTTTTTTATAGAATAAGGGTGAAAAACGGGCACACAGTCCACCTGATGGTAAGTGGTTGCTGCGACCCATAGATATCTACATCTGTCCTCTATTACAAATCAAAATGCAGATGCGTTTTCACCCGTGAGGACTAGGATGGAATGCCTCATTTCCAGTAAAAAGGGCCTCCGGCCACCTGCACTCACCAAGCGAAACGCAGAGGTAAACCTCTACTTCACGCTGGTATTCTGTGAGGTCGTGGTACCACCCCGGTTCGAGCCAGCCCATCCGTGCGACAGCAAAAGCTGCCGCCTGGCTCTACCACTGTTGAATTACAGCTGAATAGATAAACTGCGGTGTCAAATTCACTTGCCAAGCGTGGCAACTATGGCAAATGTCCTCCCTCCTATGCAATTTATGGGGAAGGCCTATCTATGTTCAGCAGTGGATTGGGCTCCTTCAGTCCTTCAGACTCAATTTCAGTCACGGTGGCCGGTCTCAACGAAGACTGGCCCCCTGCTCAGGACAGGAATATAGTGCACGAGTGAATGCGCAAGCACAGGTGCACTCTTTATTTCTTTACTCTCATAGACCGATGGGACGGTCATCCGATGCGACCGGCGAGAGATCAGGCGCAAGATCAACGGCTTCACGTGCTTTCTAAGGCACGAAGGTGAAAAATCGCCAATTTGTGGACTACTACTACGGCTACTGAGAATTTCTGACAGAAAACCCCAAGAACTGATTTTGGCCTGACCCAGAATTCCAACCCAGGATATTAATGGTAATTATCAAGGTTCGAGACAGGGCAAATATAAATCGGACCGGTCAGTTGTATTTTGCCTTTGTGCCAGCGGCAATAAGCTCTCACTTTCGCCGGATTCCGGATAAAGTATGAGGGTCTTGTTACTTTTGCTTTCATTTCAGCTTGCGCAAGACGACCTTCTCTCTTATCGATGTTAATTATCTGTGGCGTTTTGCTTTTTTTAAATTTTTGTCATCGCCTAGAAACTCTTGGGGTCAAGAACTATCCGGTTTTATATAATTTGTTTTATTGAATTTGTTTTATTTTATATTCATGTGGGTGCCTTAAGAGGCGACAAAGCAAACAAATCAAGTGATGGATTGTAGCTAGTTAGTAAGACTACCAACTAACTAGGTTAAACTCTAGACAACAATATTATAAATTATGGTATTAACATTGTTCTTGACCACTAACGCAATAGTTAAGTAATCGAAATGTTAAAAAATATTGGAGCTTTTTACAGGCCTCCTTCTTATGTATTTCCGATTCAAAATTTATAATCAGTTTCTGAAGCTCTTGCTGACATCTGATTAAGCTAAATTATGGCATATTTAAGTAACTACGATCAAAATACAATAATATGGTACCATGGAACTCATCTGATGATGAAACGGGGTGCTGACCCTATCAACAACTATAAAAGCTCGTGGAATAAATATTAATAAAATAACTTTTACGGATTTTATCGCATTTAATTATACTTATTTCTAATTCCCGAAGTTTCAAGGGTTTTCCAGCACCTATGGTCAAGTAGGACTGAGGTGATTGTCGTCCCGATGTCAGAGTTAACCCAGAGTACCTTCAACTTTTTAATTATTACTTTCTGTCTTATCTACGTAGAATGAGCTTACTATATCGTGATATCTTGTAGGGTTTAGTTTTAATTTTATTAATTTCAGGATGCTAAGCAGGGGGTTTGTACCCAGCCCCTTTCTCTATTGAAATAAGGATATTTTTTAATTTCAATAGCCTTACGTATCATCCTTGGTAGGAATCGATGTTCTTTCGAGAAGATTTGTGGTCTATTAAATCTGATGTAATAGCGGGGGGGGGGGGGGTAATATGATTACAAACTGCAGATTTCCCGGAGCGTTTTATTCATTGTTTAGTGTTCGCGTAAATATAAGAAATCATTATAAACGCTTGTTTCTTAGATACACATTGATTTTAGATATAGTTAACTTTATACTTATCTTCACGCATAATCCCTGACGGGGTAGCAAGAGAGAACAGATCGCCAAGTGTCACGATCCTTACATACCTCTTTCGCTTCTTTATACATGCACGTCTAGGTATCCGAGTACTCTTGACCCTACCCTCTTCAAGCAATTTGCTCACATGGTCTTCGAAAGTTAGTCTCGGTCTACCTCGACACCTTTTAATATTAACTTTCGCGCTATATATTTTCTTCACCATTCGGTCTTCACTCATTCGCTCAACGTGCCCAAACCACCGAAGCACGCCCTTATCAATTTTTGTGATAAGGTCATCTTTCAAACCTGCCATATTGTATAGTTAACTTTATCTTACATAAATATTACATAATATTGTTCTTTTACATCTAGCATACGTACGAGATAGTTTAACTACGGGATACCATAAAATATTTTTGTATACAGCGTAGGGATGTTCGATGGTAAAGTAAAATAAAGTTGCAGCCTAATTACGTCTTACTGCTGGGTACAGGCCTCCTCTCATTTCTGAGAGGGTATTAGGGCAAGGAAATGTCCGTCGCGCTGCCCCAATGCTTGTTGGCGAACTTCACATGTTTTCGAAAATATTTTTTTTCTTATTTCTCAGACACGCAGGTGTTTCCACACGATCTTTTCCTTCACCGCCGAGCACGTGGTAAATCAGCACTTAAAATTGCAATTTACAATTTCATTTGTGCCGGCGGGGATCGAATCCGTGTTGCTCGAGTACTGTGAAGCTTACAGCGAGCGCTAACCATCTGAGCTACCACGGCTCGATGTTAATCGTCATTGATGTTCGATGGTAATCGATTAAAATATCGATATTTTAAAATCAATGATGCAATATGTCAAACATCGCAACGTCGATTTTATAAGCACCACGAATAGAAGTATACTGATATTATAATTTAAAGTTTGATTGTGTAACAAATCATAAAAGTAAAATACTATAACTTTCATGTGATTTACGGTGTTGTCATTTAGGTGTTGTAATCAGTTTACTTTATACGTAAAATATAATTGCCAATTTGCTCACAAGTGTAGCGGTTAAAGCTAATACTCCCAACTGGTGAGACCTAGGCCAAGCAGTTGACTTATGAGGGCTGATAAAGAAGGAAAAGAAGAAGTTATTCATAACAGCTGTTATGAAAGAATATTACAAGAAGAAAAAAATCTTTAGCTTTAGCTGTATATTTAGAAAACATTTGAATTTACTTACGTAGGGTAATCCTCAATGTGAAGGCAAACCGTATTGGTAAAGTGTTCACACTTTTTCTGCTCTCCTGATAAAGTTGGGAGTTTCTTGGCCGGGAACGGTCTCCTTCTACCAATGGAGCTCAAAGACGGCGCTGGTGTTGGTTCAGCTGTAGTACGTCGAAGTACAAGCGGTGATTTTGGATTGTAAGTACCACGACGGATTATATTTCCTGAAACGTTACCACAGACATGTTATTGGTTTTATAGAGCTATTGTGCAGCACTTTCAGAGCGTATAGCGAAAACAGCCCATGAGACTTGCTAAACTAGCAAAGCAATAGGGAATCCCTGGTTGTATTATTTTTCTTTTAAATGAAGAGTAACAAATGAGCACACAGTTTAACTGATGGTAAGTGGATGCTATTTCTCATAGACATCTACATTTTTATTCACGATTAAGAATTAAAATGCAGATACGTTGGCACCTCTGAGGACTGAGATGGAATTACTCATTTCCAGTAAAAAGGGTCTGTGGGTGTCTAAACTCACCAAATAAAACACAGCAGCACTCAGCTGTTATTTTACGCTGATATTTTGTGATGTCATGGTCCTTACCCGGTCGAACCGACACATTCTTGCTACAACTATAATAATGGCGCAACATGGCTCTAGAACGTGTAAAAATATCTTTATATATATATATATATATATATATATATATATATATATTTCCATATTTCCCAAAGGACCAAATCCCAAAAGGATACCGATTTCTCGCCCTGCTGAATGGTTCCTGTGGTAATTCTTTGCCTTTCAGAATCTCCAGGTCTTTTCTAGACACAAAGAGACAGTTTTGCCGAATGTATTTCTTCTCATCTTTTTCATTTTGCTGGAGCCTAGCCCACTGCAATCACCGTCGCTGACATTGCCGTGAATTCAGAGGTGCTCGCTAAGACCTCCGTGCTCGTAGTCCAGCCTGGAGTAAGCAATTCCGAATGGTCTGATTGTTAACTTCAAGTTCAGAGTCAGCCCACACTACTGTTTTTATTTTAGTGGCATTGATTGTTGGGTCACTGGCTGCCAGCAATCTGATATAGCGCTTCTGAGCAGCAGTCAGGACAGTTGGACGACCACTGGGGGGTCGGTCAGCTAAATTATCCCTGCCGTGGTACTTCTGCAACGTGGCCACGACACAGAATTGGGATACACAGCAATTTTGTGTGCAATTTCTCTCGTGGAATATACTTCTTCCCTCTAAGTTACAATTCTTATTGCTCGTAAAACTTCTGATAATCCTCTTGGCATTTTTTCAATCACAACTTTCCTCGAAAAAATATTTTAAATACAGAAAATTGACTAAGTCAGATTTCTGAATGAGCATAAGCTTGGATTGAATTTCTTTTTATATACAAAAACAATTGAATTTGTTTTATTGTTTTATATTCTAATTCTATATTTTTAAGTGAAGAGTCGATAAAGAATTATAATATAGTCTACCGTAACAAAAGAGATTCAACTTTTCAAATTGATCGCCAACTTTTTTTGATGTGTATATGTTCAGCAGTATACTTTTATGGGCTATGATGGAGGAATGAATGGAAGATTTGCTCGCCTTAGAAACAGAAGCCTGACACCAGCTTGGGTATGAGTACTTTGGTATATTTGAAATTATCCCGACCATTCGGTCATCAATCAATAGTCAAAAGATTTTAGTTTCCCTTAATATATTTTTACGTTTCACACTGATAAAAGGAGATGAATACTTAACATACTTATTATTTTACCATAGGACACAACATAATTCACATATTCATCACACACATCCACACAAACCGAAGTAGAAATTAAATATTAGTATATAAATATACATATATATGTTTACTCATGTAATCTTCGTTAAATCTTGTACATAAAAATTAATGTTCGTCTGTTCGTATTTTATGCGCTGCCATACTGTTCAGCAGATTGCGATAAAACTTTGTCAACGTATTGTTTGCAAGTGCGCAAAGATTATAGGCATATTACAATTAACTTACAGTAGGTGGCGCGCGTATCGTACTGACAAATTTATTTGAAAGTTTTTTATCAATTAACTTCAATTATTGTATTATTATTCCCAATTAAACAATATGATTCTTTCAAATTTAAAACGATATTACAACAATTATTTCTTTTGTGGCAGCAACGTGCCCAGTAATTAAACTAAAATCCAAAGGAACTCCTTTCTAACCCATTCAAGCATTTAAATTGACCGTGTCTCTGTACTTTGCAGGCTGCGTGCAAAATAACCTTACATTAGGTAGTCAAACGCGGTAAGGAAAGTACAGTATTAGGAATACTATGAAGCCCAGAATCTGTTAAGAAACAACCAAAGGTAAGGCCTAAGTGTCGAGTATTTAGTAGGGCGTATTTGGCGTACACGATAACATGGTATTTTATTACAGTACCAGAGCAGAGGCCGCTGAAAATCAAAGTCAAATATATACGAGTATACCCGTCACGTTGCTACCACAGAATAAATAATTGTGGAAATATCGTTTTAAATTTGGAAGAGTTATATTATTTAATTAGGAATGATAATATATATTTATTCAAATTGAATTATATTTTTTTTAAATAAATTTGTCAGTACGATGCGCCACTTACTGTAAATGAATTGTACTATGTCTATAAACTTCGTGCAAGTCCAAGCAATAATTTAACAAAGTTTTACCTTAATCCAATGAACGGTATGGCAGCGCATAAAATACGAATAAACAAATATAAATTTTATTTATTAGACTTTATATACTAGCTTTAACAAAACACTTTTTGAAAGCCAAAAGCCAGACCTTCGTCTACAAGCCCCTACTGTGTTCAAATCTTATGAAAAAGAAGCTCAAGCTTACTTTGCACCGGGTACAGGCATTGATTTATCTACACTTTCATTTTCATGGCATTATTCGATCATTGATTACCTCGTTTACGTCATCCACTCGTAAAATATCATCTTTATAGTTATCAATTGGTCGTCTTTCATATTGTAAATTATTTTTATTTTGTTAAGGTTTATTTTTTTTTTATCTTGTATTTTCTTTTTTAATTTTATGGCATTGTATTTTAGTTCCATCGCTGTTCTTACATTGTTGTTTAGATTTTAAGCTTGACAATTCAAACACAATTTATTTGGAGTCTAGTCTGGTTTCGTCTTATTGTTTTGTTTTCTTTTTATTCTTATTCACGGTTAGGATTTTTTTAAGTTTATTAAGAAGATATCTAAAGAAATGAAACGGGACACACTGAAAAACAGCGGCTTTGATTCGTCACGCCAAAATACTGAATGCGACTCCTTTTAGTCACGTTCGTCTACGTATAATACTTTATTGTTAATATCGTTCAAAATGAGAAAATGTTATACACATAATTAAAAATTAAAAATTTTGTACAACCGACTTCAATATAAATTATTAAGAATAACTCAAAAAATATTGGTCGGACCTTGATCAAATTTATATAGACCACATGTGAAGCACCAGCTTTCAAATAAAGAAAGAATCATCGAAATCGGTTCACCCAGTAAAAAGTTATGAGGTAACACACATAAAAAACATACAGTAAAGTACATACTTTTTTAAGCGGTAGAAAATGGCGTTGTGCTTATGTGACGAAATAAATATTTTCTTGTTTTCTTTCTTTTATTTTTGTATTTTCCAATACATTTATTTTAACCCAAACTATTTTTATACCATATACCCACATTTTCTGTTAAATAAATGTGGAGTATTTCTTTCATTAAGATATCAAAGAAGTTAAAGTAGAGAAGACGGCTCCGTGGCGAGTGGCTTAACAATGAGTTGCGGCGCTAAGGGCCGCGGGTTCGATTCCCGCACGAAACAAGTATTTGTATGACCTACAAATCATTGTTCTGGGTCTGAATGTTTGTACTTGTGAAATATATGAATGTAAACCGCCCCCGCGATATAGATGAAAGTCCTAGTGTAGAGATAATGTTTTTTAAAAACAAAAAAGAAGAAAGTACAGTGAGTTGTTTCAGTGCTTATCGATGGACTTCATTCATGTTTCTAACATTTGATATATCATGACAATTGCTTTAAACGGATTTATTATTTGTTAGATACCGTATTATGAAATTTAACACGCAATATACAATATTTGGCCTCCTAAAAGTTCAAAAACTTTATTAAACAAAGTTTCTATAAATAGGGTTGTTATCCCTGGGAATGACGTGATCGCTCCCAAGCTGTTTGTAATTTATACTGTGTTGTACATTGTGTAAGATATATAATTTTAAACTCTTATTTATTTCAAAATTGTCCCGCTGGGTTTCTCGCTAGTTTTTTCCAGGAGAGTGGTTTTGTTTTTGGAACCAATAGTAAATTAAACATAAGAGTGACTTTTCTTTTATAGGATAGGGTGACAAACGAGCACACATTCCACCTGATGGTAAGTGGTTGCTGTGGCCCATAGAATCAAAATGCAGATGCGTTGTCACCCGTGACGACTAAGATGGAATGCCTCTTTTCCAGTAAAAAGGGTCTCCGGTTCTCTACACTCACCATACGAAACACAGCAGTGTTAAGCTGCTATTTTACGCTGGTATTCTGTGACAGTGTGGTCCTTCCCCGGTCGAGCCAACCCATTCGTGCTACAACTATCCTACTATATTAGTATTAGCTGTAGCATGTCTCTACCACGTGTAAAATTTTCAATAAGTATTATTTATAATCTATATTAAATATAAAAGTTTCTGTTTATGTTTTCAATGGGATCTCTCTATCCCCGAACAAAGCTTATGCATTATTTACTAAGATAGTAGGGAATATTCCACATTACCTTTTTTGTCAACGTATCTGCTAAACGAACGAAGCTTCTCAGCTACGGGCAGCTGGTGTTCCAACGAGTGATTGGTATCGTCGGCTGTCAGATCCAAAGTTATGTTGTCAGCAAGCGTCATCGATCTGCCTTTAGCCTGTGTCTGCTGCGGTGGCTCCATCGTAGTGGTTTCCTTTGTCGTGTTCTGAAATATGGGTAATTATAGATTATATACATAAATATAGGGATACGTTTTAATAAAATAAATTCGAGGAATTAATTCAGAGGAATCATAATAGTGGATATTACATACGGATCTTAGACAAAATATGGTGAAGAAATGATCTAAAGTAACAGCTTCATAACGGTAAGTGAAGTGTTAAGCAGTACCCCCACTCGATGGAGTGGCGAGCTGGTGAGATATACAGGAATTCAATGCACGCAGGTAGCTCGGATCCGTGTTTGTAGCATTTCTTGAAGGAGGTCTATTTCTTTATGTTTATATGCTCTAGCTGTTCCCCGCGACTTCGCCCGCAAGTAATTTTATTACGATTGGATTTCATGGGTTTTAATTTTATTACGCGGAACCCATTTTAAAAATCGTGTTTTTGTTATAAGTGGCGTATATAGTTTCATATGCATATAGTAAAAAGATGTTATTTCGACATTACAAACAGACACTTCAATTTCATTTATTTGTATAGATTATTATTGCATGCCTTAAACGAAAGCGCAAGGTATGTTCTACTACGAGTATCGCCTAAAAATTAAGATTCCAACGTTTCATCGAATAATATCGTATCTAGCAATTATACTCGTATCATACATATAAATGATATAAAAAGCACATTGTTAGAAAGATAAATGATTGTTGAACTTATTAATATGTTTTTTTAAATCGATTAATTGCTATTTTTAAATAAAAAAGTGGTTTTAGTGGCTTATGGTGTGGATTTATCATGTCCCCAAGGCTTGTAAACGCGATAACTTTTGAAAATATCAATTGTTTAACTCAATCTATTTTTTAATCTCTTCATCTATCATGTGGGAAGCCACTGAATGTAAATAGCAGTGTAATTTTGTTTTGTTTAGCTATAATTAATGTTTTTCGGCTCCAAAATGGGGCAATTTTCGTTGATTTGGTAGCCTTGTATGTAAATTATTTCTGTAAATAGGGAGCTACAGCCACAGAGTAGTTTACTCACTCACTCAGTTCGGCGTCAGTCGCCGTCGTGAGTGGACATTGTTTCGGTTGTTTGCAGAGGCTCAAAAAGATCGCTGTTCAAATACACAATATTCGAATAACCAAATTTCTTAAATACTTGATTATAATAATAATAAGATATTTTTTATTACAATATTTTAAAAGCACAGAATAAATAATAGTAGTATGTACTAAAAGTAAGCAGTAACAATTTTTTTTACATGGGTGACATTTTCATGGTTTTCGAGGGTGTTGAAATCGATAGGATTATCGAAATGTAAATCCAAGATGGCGGCCGCAATAGATATCAATTTTTTCATCATGGGTGTCATTTTCATGGTTTTCGAGGGTGCTGAAGCCGATAGTGCTGTCGAAAAGTAAATTCAAGATGGCGGCTGCAATAGGTATAATTTTTTTCATCATGGGTGTCATTTTCCTGGTTTTCGAGGGTGTTGAAGCCGATAGTGCTGTCGAAATGTAAATACAAGATGGCGCCTGCAATATGTATCAATTTTTTCATCATGGGTGTGATTTTCATTGTTTTCGAGAGAGTTGAAGCCAATAGGGTTGTCGAAATGTAAATCCAAGATGGCGGCTGCAATAGATATCAATTTTTTCATCATGGGTGTCATTCTCATGCTTTTCGCAGGTGGTGAAACCGATAGTGCTGTCGAAATGTAAATCCAAGGTGGCAGCTGCAATCGGTGTCAATTTTTTCATCATAGGTGTCATTTTCATGGGTTTCGAGGGTGTTGAAGCCGATAGTGCTGTCGAAATGTAAATCCAAGATGGCGGCTGAAGTAGGTACCAATGTTTTCATTATAGGTGTCATTTTCATGGTTTTCGAGTGTGTTGAAGCCGATAGGGTTGTCGAAATGTAAATCCAAGGTGGCGGCTGCAATATATATCAATTTGTTTCATCATGGGTGTCATTCTCATGCTTTTCGCAGGTGTTGAAGCCGATAGTGCTGTCGAAATGTAAATCCAAGGTGGCGGCTGCAATGGATGTCAATTTTTTCATCATGGGTGTCATTTTCATGGGTTTCGAGGGTGTTGAAGCCGATAGTGCTGTCGAAATGTAAATCCAAGATGGCGACTGCAATAGATATCAAGTTTTTCATCATGGGTGTCATTTTCATGGTTTTTGAGGGTGTTGAAGCCGATAGTGCTGTCGAAATGTAAAGTCAAGATTGCGGCTGTAGTAGGTATAAATTTTTTCATTATGGGTGTCATTTTCATGGTTTTCGAGGGTGTTGAAGCCGATAGTGCTGTCAAAATTAAAATCCAGGATGGCGGCTGAATTAGGTACCAATTTTTTCATCATGGATGTCATTTTCATGGTTTTCGAGTGTGTTGAAACCGATAGGGTTGTCGAAATGTAAATCCAAGGTGGCGGCTGCAATAGATATCAATTTTTTTCATCATGGGTGTCATTCTCATGCTTTTCACAGGAGTTGAAGCCGATAGTGCTGTCGAAATGTAAATCCAAGGTGGCGGCTGCAATGGATGTCAATTTTTTCATCATGGGTGTCATTTTCATGGGTTTCGAGGGTGTTGAAGCCGATAGTGCTGTCGAAATGTAAATCCAAGATGGCGACTGCAATAGATATCAAGTTTTTCATCATGGGTGTCATTTTCATGGTTTTCGAGGGAGTTGAAACCGATAGTGTTGTCGAAATGTAAATCCGAGGTAGCTGCTTTAATAGATATCAATTTTTTCATCTGGGTGACATTCTCATGGTTTTCGCGGGAGTTGAAAACGATAGTGCTGTTGAATTATAAATCCAAGATGGCGACCGCAATAGGTATCAATTTTTTCATCATGGGTGTCATTTTCATGGTTTTCGAGGGTGCTAAAGCCGATAGTGCTGTCGAAATGTAAATTCAAGATTGCGGCTGTAGTAGGTATAAATTTTTTCATTATGGGTGTCATTTTCATGGTTTTCGAGGGTGTTGAATCCGATAGTGCTGTCGAAAAGTAAATCCAAGATGGCGGCTGCAATAGATATCAATTTTTCATCTTGGGTGTCATTTTCATGGTTTTCGCAGGTGTTGAAGCCGATAGTGCTGTTGAAATATAAATCCAAGATGGCGGCTGCAATAGATATCAATTTTTTCATCATGGGTGTCATTCTCATGCTTTTCGCAGGTGGTGAAGCCGATAGTGCTGTCGAAATGTAAATCCAAGGTGGCAGCTGCAATCGGTGTCAATTTTTTCATCATAGGTGTCATTTTCATGGTTTTCGAGGGTGTTGAAGCCGATAGTGCTGTCGAAATGTAAAGTCAAGATTGCGGCTGTAGTAGGTATAAATTTTTTCATTATGGGTGTCATTTTCATGGTTTTCGAGGGTGTTGAAGCCGATAGTGCTGTCAAAATTAAAATCCAGGATGGCGGCTGAATTAGGTACCAATTTTTTCATCATGGATGTCATTTTCATGGTTTTCGAGGGTGTTGAATCCGATAGTGCTGTCGAAAAGTAAATGCAAGATGGCGGCTGCAACAGATATCAATTTTTTCATCATGGGTGTCATTTTCATGGTTTTTGAGGGTGTTGAAGCCGATAGTGCTGTCGAAAAGTAAATCCAAGATGGCGACTGCAATAGATATCAAGTTTTTCATCATGGGTGTCATTTTCATGGTTTTCGAGGGAGTTGAAACCGATAGTGCTGTCGAAATGTAAATCCGAGGTAGCTGCTTTAATAGATATCAATTTTTTCATCTGGGTGACATTCTCATGGTTTTCGCGGGAGTTGAAAACGATAGTGCTGTTGAAATGTAAATCCAAGATGGCGACCGCAAAAGGTATCAATTTTTTCATCATGGGTGTCATTTTCATGGTTTTCGAGGGTGCTAAAGCCGATAGTGCTGTCGAAATGTTAATTCAAGATTGCGGCTGTAGTAGGTATAAATTTTTTCATTATGGGTGTCATTTTCATGGTTTTCGAGGGTGTTGAAGCCGATAGTGCTGTCAAAATTAAAATCCAGGATGGCGGCTGAATTAGGTACCAATTTTTTCATCATGGATGTCATTTTCATGGTTTTCGAGGGTGTTGAATCCGATAGTGCTGTCGAAAAGTAAATCCAAGATGGCGGCTGCAACAGATATCAATTTTTTCATCATGGGTGTCATTTTCATGGTTTTTGAGGGTGTTGAAGCCGATAGTGCTGTCGAAAAGTAAATCCAAGATGGCGGCTGCAATAGATATCAATTTTTCATCTTGGGTGTCATTTTCATGGTTTTCGCAGGTGTTGAAGCCGATAGTGTTGTTGAAATATAAATCCAAGATGGCGGCTGCAATAGATATCAATTTTTTCATCATGGGTGTCATTCTCATGCTTTTCGCAGGTGGTGAAGCCGATAGTGCTCTCGAAATGTAAATCCAAGGTGGCAGCTGCAATGGATGTCAATTTTTTCATCATGGGTGTCATTTTCATGGTTTTCGAGTGTGTTGAAGCCGATAGGGTTGTCGAAATGTAAATCCAAGGTGGCGGCTGCAATAGATATCAATTTTTTTCATCATGGGTGTCATTCTAATGCTTTTCGCAGGTGTTGAAGCCGATAGTGCTGTCGAAATGTAAATCCAAGATGGCGACTGCAATAGATATCAAGTTTTTCATCATGGGTGTCATTTTCATGGTTTTCGAGGGAGTTGAAACCGATAGTGCTGTCGAAATGTAAATCCGAGGTAGCTGCTTTAATAGATATCAATTTTTTCATCTGGGTGACATTCTCATGGTTTTCGCGGGAGTTAGAATAAAATAGAATAGAATAGAATATTTTTTATTCAATATACATTACATGTGTAATTCTTATTGAAAGTCATTTTTTACTTTACCACTGGTTCGAAAAAAACCCTCTGTCCTGGGAAGAACCAGCAAGAAACCCAGCGGGACTTTTTTTTAAATAAATTTTATAATATAAATGATTACGAACTATTTACAAAATTTATTTTAGAAACTGCTTGGAAGCGATCACCTCATTCCCAGGGGTTATTATCAA